ATTTCGGTGGTGGGGGGGCGTGAAAACCCGCGCTTAGTCAGCTCTAAACTGACGCCGGGGCGTCAGTGTATTGGGACCCGTCTTTTGCTCAGTCATCACAGCTACCTAAATACCGAAGACGACGAGAACGCGACGTCGCGGATTGCAATTGCATTATCACTACTTGACAGAGATACAACATTTCTAAATACCGCATATTGACAGGGAAACATTAAAACCGCAAACGGTGAAAGGACGCAGTAATGTCGAAAGCTGGTGGGGTAAAGGGTGCCGCGGGTGCGAATGGAAAAGGGAAAAAGGGTGGTAATGGAGGAGGAGGGAAAAAAGAAGACGAGAGAGAGGAGAGGCTGCAGGCTGTTGTATGTTTTCTCTCTTAACCCGTCTTGTTGTTCTTTGGGGGGCCTCTGGACTGGCAATTGGCGAGGGAGCCGTTTGAGGTGTGCGAGAGGGGCAGAGAGTGTGAGCTTGAAGGGGGATTCAGAGTGGGGATGTTCAGAGATGGCGAGGGAGGGGGGGAGGAGCAATCGAGTGAGCGAGAGAGGAAACATGTATGCTAACAATGGAATAGGTACTAGCCGACTCTTTTGAGACGAGGTTTAACCCTTTCACTTTGGAGAGACCTAGGGTGAGAATACCTACGAATGTTTTTATGGGCAGGCCACGAAACGAATGTACTGAGACTTATCCGGTTTCTTGAAAGCGCTCCCGTCATGGGGCTCATACACGTTCGCCTGGCGCATAGGAGAATTGAAAGGATAGCTACACATATCAGGAGCTAACAATTGTGAATAGTGCCTCCTTCCACTAGCAAATACACCTTTAATCGAGTATACCCTCGAGTTCCTCGCAATGTCAGGAGTGGCAGACATATACATCTACTGCGGCGCTCACACCGAGGAAGTCGAAAAGTACATCCACGCCTCGAAATGGTATCCTCTCAAATCGGCCGCCTCACCTTTCAACTCGCTCGAAATCGTCAAGACGACAGCCCGCTCTGTGGGCGACGCTCTACGAGATCTTGACGGACGGGATTTGATCACGGGCGACTTTTTACTTGTGCATGGTGATTTGGTCTCGAATTTACCGATTGATGCCGCACTTGCGGCTCATCGAGCCAGGAGAATTGCAGATAAAAACGCGATTATGACGATGATATTGAGAACTGGAGGCCTGGAGGAACATCGTACCAAGAGTAAAGGTATCACGCCTGTTTTTGTGATCGATCCAACCCAGAACCGATGTATACATTACGAGGAAATGAATCCTTTGCAAGCGAACAAATACGTTAATCTCGACCCGGATCTACTAAAGGAGCATACTGAGATGGAGATCCGAACCGATTTGATTGATTGTGGGATCGATATTTGCACGCCTGATGTTTTGGCTTTATGGGCAGAGAGTTTCGACTATGAGGTCCCCAGGCGTCATTTTTTGCATGGTGTTTTGAAGGATTATGAGCTGAATGGGAAGACGCTGCATACCGAAATTGTGGGAGATCACTACGCAGCTAGGGCTTGTAACCTCCAGGCTTATGAGGCGGTTTGCAAGGATGTGTTGGCGCGGTGGACGTACCCACTTGTTCCGGACAGTAATCTGCTTGCGGGACAGAGTTATAAGTATGAGAGAGGCGGTTTATGTAAGGAGAATGGTGTTGTGTTGGCAAGAACTTGCAAGGCGGGGAAGAAAACCATTCTAGGGAAGGATACTAGTATTGGGGATGGGAGTCTGGTTTCAAACAGTATCATTGGGAGAAGGTGTAATATTGGAAAGAACGTCACCATTAATAATGCTTACATCTGGGATGATGTTAGTATCGGGGATGGGTCGACAGTTGATAGGGCCATCATTGCCAATGAGGCAGCTATTGGCAAGAGTTGTACGATCCAGGCTGGAGCTCTCGTGTCGTACCGAGTCAAAATCGACGATAATGCTCAAATAGCACCTGGCTCACGCATCACCCGAGCAAAGAGGAAACTCAACAACAGCCCGGAAGACGCCAAAGCTACTGAAGAAGTTCCCTCAGAACCAAGTCTCGTCGGCGCCGAAGGACAAGGTTACCTCTTCGAAGACGAAGATGAATTCTCCGATGACGAGGAAGCCGCCTTCCACTCAACCCTCATCTACAGTACCGCCCACCTCAACATCTCCTCAGAATCCATCTCTACCCTCTCTTCCGAAGTCAGTGAGCCGCCACCAACAAACTCCCGCTCACGTCTCTCCTCGTTCGCGGGCTCTATCTCTGATGATGGCGAAGGCGGAACCTCAAACGAAGGTTTCCATCATGACGCTGTAGACGGTCTCCTTACAGCCCTGAAGGAAAATAGTTCTTTGGAAGATGGAGAGAGTTCAAAACTCGAGTTTACTGGTCTTAGATTAGCGCACGATGCTACGGATCATCAGATCAGAAGAGCTATCGCTGTTGCATTCTCAAAGAGAATTTGTCAGCTTGTTGATGAGGGAACGGATGTTAGCAAAGCTTGTGTAAAAACCTTCGGTGTTACAGGTGCGGAGAGATTCTTAAAAACTGTTGCTGTGAGTGGGAATGCCGAGGCAGATCAGGTGGATTTCCTTGCATGCTTGGAGAAAGATCTTGGGCACAGGGCAAAGGGAGATGCGGTTCTTGCGGGGATATGTCAAAGACTTTATCAGATGGATGTTGTGGAGGAGGAGGCAGTTTTAAGGTGGTGGGAGGAGGGAGGTGGGGAGGAAGGATCAAAGGGCGAGAATGAGAAGAAGGAGGGTGAGGGTGAGGTCATGAATGTCAGAGGAAAAACGGGGGTTTTTATCGAGTGGCTTGAGAAGGCGGAGGAAGAGAGTGAGGAGGATGAGAGTGAGTAGATATGCTGTTGGTCTTGAGAATTGTGATGTTAGGAAGTGGCTAGATGGCTGCTATATAGTGGTGAGCATGAGAATGAGAATACAAAAGTAAAATCAACGATCTTGCATAGGATGGTCATCATCATGGTCTGATTTGCACTTGTTGGTCGCAGTGAGCTTGCATGTATAGATACTTAAACGGCACTCGCGAAGGTTCATCACATGAACCGGAAATAGGTATATCTCGTTCAGCTTCCAAATAGCCGCACGGTTGGTTGCGAAAGACCTTGCATCTTCAAACCGTCTCAGGTACTGTATTCCAACACTCCAAAGTATTTTCCTCCTTCAAAAGTCCCTGTAGATCTTCCATTGCTACCAGACCACAGAGGAATCCAAAAAGCGTTCACGCAGAGTAGATATAACTCAATGTAATAACTAGGTTAAATCAAGCTTCAATTTATTCGAAACGCGGTCTAGCTAGGAAAACGATGTTGTTTTACAGGGGATATGTTGTCAAAATGGACATTATTGTCTACTCAGGAGTTTGTGTTTTTTCAATTTAATTCCTTTGTAGTAAAGAAGGAATGTCTTAATCTATAAATCCTCTTCTTGTTATTTCCTACCCGGTTTCCCTTAAACAAACCATAGACCTACACTTATACAGTTTAAAATACACTCCTCGCTTATACTTTAAGGGGCTATAGGTAGTATATAACTTATAATTTCAAGGTCCTAATACCTCGGAATTAGTTCACGGAAACAACCCTATTAAGTAATAACCTACTCGCTTAGTAACTATAACTATTAAATATACTACTACAACTAAACCTCCCGAAGGCGTTAAAATCCTTATATAATTAATATATTAAATTCTAAAGACTAGGTGGTGACGGTTCTAACCGTCACCACTAGGTCCAAATTAAGTACGAGGTAATAGTTAAATAGAACTTTCTATAGGGACTTATATAACGAGCTCTATTATTAAGTAACTTTTAGACCCGATACTTTAAGTTTCCCTTTGAAGTCTTAAGACTAACGTATAAATAAAATAGAAAAAAGATTAAGTATAAATACTTTTAATTATTAGCTTTTTACTCGTAGAGGTTAAAGCTTATATATCAGCTAATCTTAGTATAAGATACGTTCTCTAATAAATATAAATTAAGTATAAGTATAAGCTCCTTCTTTATTATAGAACTTACTAGAGTCCTATAAAATAATTCTATTCGGTTCTACTCTATATAATAGAAATTACTTACTTGTTAGCTTCGGAGTATATAAGAGTTAAGTGTTTATAGTGAGGTGTGATTATTAAGCATTTAGTCGACTAATCAGAAGATTTAGCATTTTTGTATTAATTTTTTTGGGATTTTTTAGACACCTCTTGCGGGTAGTAAAAAGATCAAATAGAAAAAATTTAATCAAAAACTCCTTAATTCTCTGATTGGTCGAAAAGTTATTACATAATCACAACACAGCATAACTTAAGTTAAGTTATCACTATGAAGACTTAATTATTATATACTCCGAAGCCAACAAGTATTAGACCCATTAATAATATCCCAATTATCTAAATAAAAATCCCTTATTTTCTTTTATTTATTTCCTACTTCCATATAATCTTTTCCAGCTATATTCCAAGACCTTAAACAACCCTCTCTAATAAAACCACGACTTTTCGTACTATATTACTCTACTCTAATAAATAAATAATCTCCTCGCTTCGCCTATTATAACCTCTCCTTTCTACCTATCTATAGCTTTCCCATTTCCTAATTCCATTCCATACTCCCTAGCCTATCCTCCTCTAAAACCCAGAGAAAACAAAGAATAAGAACCCCGTCCGTCGTCCGTCGTATCTCATAAATGATAAATCTCCTCTCTTACCTACAGTAGGCTAGATACATTTCCCCCGTGACCCATCTCGCTTAGCATAAACCCTGTAACCCTACCATCACAAAAAAAAGGTAAATAAAGTACAAGTATCCCAATTAATATAATATCTCTTGGCACTACGTAGACACGTACTATATATGTATACCTAGTTTAGTAGCTATTTAAATCAAATCAAAATGTACTATATATAGATAGAATTGTAATTGTAATTATAAATACAAATACAAATGCAAATCTCAAAAGAAATGAGATAGCTTAATGGGATGTAAAGGAGTTGTATATAGATAAGTAACGTAGTTAACATACCCGCCCCTCTCTCTCTCTCTCTCGCTCTCTCTTTTGTCCCCCCAGGAAACCAAAGGGTTTAGCTACTGTAAACTACCCAACCACCCAACCCATCCCCTTTGAAAACAAAAACCAACAACAAAACAAAAAAGACCCCTCTCCCCCACCCCCCAAAAAAGCAAAAAACCATGAACCTCCCCACCCTGCTCACAATCCTCACCCTCTTCCTCTTCCTCACCCAAACACTCGCAGCAACTTGCGACCAAGCAATCTGCGACACAAGATGCAACAAAGCAGTATGTCCCTTTTCCCCATTCCCTTTCCCATTCCTTTTCCCTTTCCTCTCCCCCCAGCCCAACCCAACCCAACCCAACACACCTACATCCCAAAAAACCCCAACTAACACCAAAAACAGGGCGTCCTCCTCTCATATTGCAACAAATCCAACCTGGCAAACTGTATCTGCAATCGCCCAGGCGACCCGGGGTACGGGTTAGGACCGCAGCCGAGGCCGACTGCGACGGCGAGGGCTAGGGCGAGTTCTTCTGGGAAGCCGAGAGGGACGCCGACACCAACGCCGACGCCGGGGCCAGGGGGGAGATAGGTAGATATTAGTGGGAGTCGGTGTTAGGTGTTATTGGGGGAGTAGGAGGAGAGGGAGAGGGAAGGGGGATTGTCAGGGGACGGGTAAAGGGAGAGGGAAGGTAGGGAAGGTGTAGCGTGTATATATATATACCTTCCATGTGAAGATATAGAACAAAGGAAGGTACCTAAACGAGATAGTTTTATTCCTACGAGTAGGAACATATTATAATATAAATTAATAGTATAAGTACTCGTAGGTATTATAAACGCCTACTTTACTATCTACCTATAGCCCCTTCGTAAAAGTAGTAAGAAACTAGGGTATCTTACTAGTATTGTTAGTTTGACTCTAATAGAGAGTCCAGACAAAGTGTTGATATAAATAGAATAGTATTATATTCGACTATTAGATATATACACCGAGTAAAGGTTATAGGTGCTCGCTATTATATAGTAGTACTAAGGCTATAGCGCCCCTACTAGCCCTAAGGCTAGCTTGTATGTGCTATAGCTGATACCGAGTATTTACTCGATATTCGTATAGCGACAAGTATATTATAGGGTATTTTACAAGGTATTTTATATGTAAATCACTTATTTCTATAGTTTCTAGGGTCGCGAAATATCTTACTAGTTTTATAAAGGGGCTATACCTACTACTTACCTACTACCTACCTACTACCTACCTACTACCTACCTAACCTACCTATATGTCACGAATCACGTGCTCACGTGATACTTGCATAATAAAGAGGCGCAACTCTCGACAGGCACATCCAGGTTTCTTATAGTAAATAGGGATGCTTAGACTAGCTAAGCGATCCAAGGATTTCTCGTGTATGTAGTCACGTGATCAATCGCATCGCCTGTATCGACAGCTGATGTAGGCGATGTAGAGAGAACGAAGGTTCTATATAGGACAGGCATGTCTGCCATTAGATAGGAGCTTCGTGTTCAACTTAGTTATCAATCTTATCATATTAGTTTGACATCTTTGATACAAGCAACGAGTTCACTTCCAAGTGAACAACCCGATAGTCTTCTTCTTATCATAGCATACCAACCAGCGAACACCCAGCCAAGTTTAGTTAGCCAGTTTGAGTATTCGTTACATTCACTTGGAAGTGAACTCGTTACTTGTATCAAAGATGTCAAACTAATATGATAAGATCGACAACTAAGTTGAGCACGAAGCTCCTATCTAATGGCAGACGTGCCAGTCTTATATAGAACCTTCGTTCTCTGTCGATCATCGCAGAGCGACTCGATCGCCTGTCGCTCAGAGCGACAGTCGGTTCGACCGACACCAACAATGGTCGCTCGGTCACGTGACTAAAATACAATGAAATCCATGGATCGCTTAGCTACCCTAAACGATCCCTATTTGCTATAAGAGATACGATAGTGCTTAACCTGTCAGGGCGCCGCCTGGTCTTCACTCGTCACATGCTCACACGTGATTCGTGACATATAGTTTCCCTTATAGTTTACTATAATACTTTACATAGCTTTACTTTTAAGTTTTAACATTTTATATTAAGAGTCTTTCTAGAATAAGTAAGTTATTCTAAAGAGTACTAGGTATTTAAGGTTAGGTTTTATACTAGTTTATACATTATATAAGGTCTTTTTAAGTAAGGTAATAAATAATCTATTTTAAAGATAATTCGTTATTTATATAACTTTAGTTTAATATTATTTATTAAGAGTACTATCTAATAATATTAGTAATACCTTATTTATAATAGTTCGAACTAATCTTTCTACTATACTATTCTATTATTATAAGGTAGTTATGGTATATTCTATATATATACCTATCTCTTTAATCTAGTTATTATAAAGCTTACTACTTTACTTCTCTACTAGATTATATTATATTCGTAGTATAGTCTATAGTATTATAGTATAAGTAGTATCTAATCTTTTATTTAGATATACTTTATTTCTAAGATCTTATTTTTATTCTTTATAATAATAATAATATATCGTTCTTTTTATAGTTCTAGGATTTATAAAGGGCCGGTAATATTAATATAAATTAGGTCTATCTCGTACTACCCTAGCTTTATTATACTAGTATAAGAGTTATTAGTATACTTACCTTTAATATATAACTTATATAAAGTAGTATAAGAGAGTATTAAATATAAGTCTATTTCTATACTAGTCTTGTACTAATTTATTATTTAGTACTTAGTATATAGTAGAAGCGTATATATTATCTTATAGTTATACTTAGTATAAACCTTAGTAATTTACTATTAAAATTAAGCTACTTTTAAAGAATACTTTAGTAAGTATTATAGTAAAAGATATTTTAGTAGATTAATTAATACTAAATAGTTAGCTTAAAGATATTAAGTTAAATTAGCCGCTAGGTATAAATAAAACGTTTTAAAAATATACTATATATAAGTTAGGCCTTTATCTCCTTTGTATTTAATTCGTATAATTCTAATTACTTTTAGTATAAGTATACTTCTAAGACCTTGTATGAATTATATAATAAGTTATATAAATTCTAGTATAAACTAGGACTTAAATAAGTAAATATATTATAAGTAACCCGAGTTTATTATCTAATTAGAGGCTAGGGTTTTATATATAAGGCTAAGTTCCTCGGTTTTTAATTAGATAGAATATACTATAGCTACTATCCCTTACTCTATAATATATAAGGCTACTAGTAGTATAGTAGAAGGCAGTAGCTTAGTATTAACGTTAGGATATTAGATTCGTATCTTTTTAATACTTAGTACGTTCTAATTAGGCTTAGAGTTAGTACTCTTACTTAAAAGCTTCTACCGGCGTTTAGTAGCCTTATATATTACGAAGTAAGAGATAAATATACTTTTATTATTAAAAGTACTATTATTACTAGTATCTTATTAGTTCTTATTATTTTCTCTAACTTATAGTATTTTCGGTTCGAATTATTCTTATTCTTATTATTATTTAAGTTTTTTAAGTAGTATGTTATAATGTTATAGTATATCTTTTTATAGTATATATACTATTTTTAAAGCTTTATTTTATATACCTAGTTAGAATTATTTATTAGTTTTATCATTATTCTAGAATAAGTTAAAATAAAGGTACTTAGTGAGAAAGGCTTGGTAGAAAAAGTACTAGGAGCGTATACGTACTTTATACTATATTTTTAAAGTCTACTAAAAAGAGGTTATAGGTAGATTAATAATTCGAGAGTTAAAAGCTATATAACGTTCTAAGTCCTTTAAGAAAATATTATATATAAAGAGGCTTATAAATAGTAATAAAAGAGATATTTATTAATTAGTTCTTAAGCTTTTATAGTTATTATATAAAGTCTATAATATTATTATACTTTATAAGAGTTAAATTATAGTATTTATTATATAAGTAAGATAAGTATTTACTACCAACTTCCTAATCTTAGTATAAGAGTCTCGAAGGAGACTCTTAAAGGCGTTATATAGGCTAGAACTCGTATCGCTCGTATTACCGTAAAGCTATACTTAGCCATATAGGGAGGCGGTACCGAGAGTCGTATGCGCACTTAAGCCTTACTGTCACGAATCATGTGCACGCACGTGATGATTGAAGACCAGTGTCACGAATCATGTGCACGCACGTGATGAGTGAAGACCAGGCGGCGCCCTGACAGGTTAAGCACTATCATAGCTCTTATAGCAAATAGGGATCGACTAGGCTAGCTAGATGATCCAAGGATTTCCTTTAGTTACTGTCACGTGATTAATGGGCATCAGAGGTGGTCGGACTGACTGTAACGAATACTCAAACTGGCTAACTAAACTTGGCTGGGTGTTCGCTGGTTGGTATGCTATGATAAGAAGAAGACTATCGGGTTGTTCACTTGGAAGTGAACTCGTTACTTGTATCAAAGATGTCAAACTAATATGATAAGATTGATAACTAAGTTGAGCACGAAGCTCCTATCTAATGGCAGACGTGCCAGTCTTATATAGAACCTTCGTTCTCCAAATCCCAAATGTCGACAGCGCGCTCGTCGTGCTGTCGCGCGCGACAATTCGCTTGTCGCGCTGTCGCGCTTTTATCACGTGACTATGAATGCTATGAAATCCTTGGATACTCAACAACCCTGAGTAACCACTGCTATGATATAACTACTCTGGATGTATCTGTCCTGTCAGAACGCCGTTTGGACTAACTCGTCACATGCTAACACGTGATTCGTGACACTGACGACCTCTGAGGAATCGGAATCGATCAGGGCGATGAGCACTGATCCGCGAGAACGAAGGTTCTATATAATACTGGCACGTCTGCCATTAGATAGGAGCTTCGTGCTCAACTTAGTTATCAATCTTATCATATTAGTTTGACATCTTTGATACAAGTAACGAGTTCACTTCCAAGTGAACAACCCGATCGTCTTCTTCTTATCATAGCATACCAACCAGCGAACACCCAGCCAAGTTTAGTTAGCCAGTTTGAGTATTCGTTACACTTACCTATACGTATATAGCTCTTTGTACCTACGTAGTAGTACTTCTATATATTAGAACGACATAAAAATAAGACAGATTTATAGGGTTAATCAAGTACTATCTTATCCTCGAAGGATATACGTTTCCGACTAGTAGGAGTATTATTATATAGCTAGAAAGAACCGTATACTATAGACGAATTTTAGTATTCCTACCCGACCTACCTTTCTTTCCTAATATAGTAGGTAGTCCTACGCTTTACCTAATATAGTAGGTAGTTAGAGTTTTGTAATATTAGCCTTACGAAGGATTCTAGAGTCTCTTTTAGGGATCCGAGGAATAAGGGAAAAATCTACATTAAGACGAGAGCATTATTGTGACGGAGCTGGATTTCATTTGACAGGATTTCATTCGCTTGGCCAAGCACGTGACGAGACTTGGCATTGGAACAACTTAAATAACTTCGCTCCTTTCAGATTCTCTTCTCTCTTTAGTTTGATTTCTTCGTACCTACGGTTTTAGTTCTAGCAATTGATTCAAAAGCTGTATACACTTTATCCTTTGTTGGCATCCGTGACAATTATACTAGATTGTAAATATATCTATATTTATATTTTTAAAGTATTTACTTTAAACGAATTAGCTTTATTATTTAAAGGGATAATATAGTAGGATATATATTTATAAACGCTAGGTAATATGGTACGAATATAGCTAAAATTAGCCTTTGTACTACAAAACTTATAACTATATGTAGTAGTGTTCTATATAAAACACCGTCTTTATTCTAAAAACAAGTAGATATTCGAGTAGTCGAAATTCTATTTTTAGTATCTAAACAAAGGGTACGATTTATTGTTTGTTCGTAGTAGTAAGCCGGGCTTATAACCTAATAAAATATAGTAAATAAGAAGCTAGTTAAGTTCTTGATTATTCTACTATAGATACAGCTAGTTGATATGTATCTAGCTAACAAAGAGTCTTTGACAAAGTAGACTTAATACAGTGGGACGGATTACGTAATTTCAACACTCATCTCATCTCATTTCAAATCAAAAAAAAATAAAAAAATAAAAAATAATTTCTCTAAAAACAACAACAATAACCCACAAAACTCCCCCCCTTCCCCTCCTCTCCCTCATCCCCCTACGTCCCCCTTTCCACACCTCCCTAGCCATACCCCTTAATCCGCCCCCTCCCCTTATCCCCCCCCTATACTTCCCCCTCCACAATTCCTCTTCCATCCTCCACATCTAAGAGATAAAAAAGCCTCCATCCCTCAACCTCCACACCACACCATACCACCATCCTCCGCCTCCCAACAAACACAAAACAAACACAAACACAGCACAAAAAACTCAAAAAAAACTCCAACCGCACGCACCAATCCCATCTTGACCAAAACCTAAGCCAACATACCCATTCCCTTTCTATGTAAAAAAGAGTGAAAAGAAAAAAAAAGCCTTCAACAAGAAGCACACAAAAGAAAAGAGATATCAAATGATAAACCCCCAATCCAAAACGCCTGCTGTACTAATCAATAATCAATACCGTATCAAAGTCCTCGAGAGCTATTGTTTCCAAGTTACTGCAAAAGAGAGAACGAGAAGCAAAAAAAGAGACCAACCGGAAGAGAAAAAGTTCGGTCTGCTGCTATCTGCTATCAACAAGAATCTAATAATGCCAAGTTATATATACAAAGGTGTAAAGATACCAAAACTTCCGTCAAGTCGAATCTCCATCTCAATTTCGAGGATCAAAAGTGGTGAACGTTCAATCCTCAATAGGCGACTGTCAAAGTGGCTCCCTCACCGTTATTGCTGATACCCCCCAGGAGCAGGATACATTCTCTGCCTCTTAACATCATGCTCATCACTCACCCCACCCGAGCTCATATCCGACATAACCCTTCGATGTGGTGCAACACCCCTCGGAGGCCCCAGCGGTGAGTTTTGTGGAGGCGGATAAGCAGGTTGAGGATGTGTAGGTTGCGTAGGAGTCATCGCGTAAGGGCTTTCCCTCATGGGTTGCATATGATACCCCACGGGTGCATTTCCATCCGGCGATGGACCAGGTATCGTGTTTGGTGAATGCCAGGATGCAACAGTGGCCGGAGATTTTCCTGGAGATGTCTCGTCTTTCATGGATTGCGTAGCTGATAATTGTCCCAGGTTCAAGCCAAGTGGTGGATGTGAGGAGTTACTGGATGATGAAAATCCAATGGTTTGTGGCATTTGCGTCGAATTCGGAAATTGGGGGTTTGCGGTTTTGAGGAAAGATGGTAAATGCTTTTGAAGTGACTTGAGCATGCCTTCTTTGGTGAATGGTTTTGGTAATACATCATTCATTCCTATTTCAGGTTAGAACTGTTCCAAAGACTTTCTGACATCCACTTACCATATCGGAAATACATGTCTATATCATCGGCCCTTATGTTGGATGTCATGGCTATAATCGGAATGTTGGGTCTTAGGTCTCGTATACAAACCGTGGCAGAGACACCATCTAAATTAGGCATGATAATATCCATGAGAATCAAATCGAATTGGTCGCCACCATTATTCATTTTGTTCACAGCCTCAAGCCCATCTCTCTGTTATAAGATTAGTCCCTCACACCAAGAACCTCAAGGGACCTTAACTTACGGCTATCTCTACCCCACATTCGTACATTTGGAGAAATTTGGACCCAATCTTCGCACACATCCTGTCATCCTCCACCAGTAGTACTCGTGGTTTATTGATCCCCCATATGGGTTCCATCAAACTCTTCTTTCGATTGGAGGTCGAATCTTCTTCAGGTTGAATTTCTGGCATTGGGTTTACATTCATCATTCCACCCGCTGGAAGTGAATAAGGAATATTGTTGATGTGTTCGCTATCAATGGGATCGATTCCGTTGGTGTGCCCTACCGGATAAACCATATTCTCTACATCAGTGGCTGACGGATGACCCATTGGAGCACTGGTAGCATTCCCCTGAGTTGGCAAACTTGTAGTCACATGCTGCTCGTTTGGAGGAGTCGAGTAATCGGCGCGTAGATGGTGTTCATGTGTCATCTGCTCCAACTCTCGGTTGGGCAAATTCTCTGCCGAGTATTGCCCCAGTAATGCGGATGCTTTTTGTAAAGGAGATGCTGGATGATCATCCACCGCCCGATCGTTCGAAAGCGATTCGCCAGTACTGATCCCTCCCACATCATTTCCACATGGACCCGTCACTTTACTGTTGCGCCTCTGATCATCGACCCCGTGCAAGAAGCCCATCACATTCCGCATTGCCCCATCGTGATTCTTGATGAGGTTTTGCATGGCAACGACTTGTTGCAACAACACCACATGGCCTTGAGCAAGATCTTGGTATCTTTCGGATAAATGCTCGAGTTGTTGCTGAGTGGCCGTTAACTGAATATTGATGAGATCTATTTGCTGGGAAGGATACGAGTCTTCGGAGGTTTGGGCAGACTTTCGTGGAGCGGGTGCTTTTCGCCTGATGTTATCTAAGGAATCTTTCTTGTTGGCTTGGAATTCGGGATGTTTGAATTCCCATGCCTACTTTGCCATTAGTTTGGTTGTTGGATGGGAGGAGGATGGACAAATACTGACACTAGGACCGTATGGAGATGGAACATTGTCTTCATTGTTCTGTCTAACCTTGTGAAAATCGTACTTGTTTAACTGGCGAACGAAACTTGCGAAATTGCTATGCTTGAAGTGCTTGGGCAGGATGGTCTTGGTAAACTTTTCATTCTGCAAAGGTGTTAGTTCTTGGTGGGGATGTTTTTCTTGGTGGCGATTCATACCTCGAGAACGACAAAACTCTCACCACCCTCGCCCCAACGTACAATGGAATCGTAGGAGGGGTCCTCTAACATTCTACATTACAACATGTCAGTGGGTCAAATCAACTAGTGGTGCTGACTACTGTTGATAGCGGCGACGGTGACTTCTTACTTGTATAATTTGCGAACCTAAAGGCATGGTTAGTTGGAAAGAGGTACATCTGGGCCAGTTGGGGTACGGTAGACCGTCTAGCCAGGGTTGGATTTTGATTTCAAACTCACAAAGTCGCTCGAACTGTTTGGCGTCCCCATGTCACCTCCTTTCTCCATCATGGGCCGCCTCTAGTAAAGTTGAGGTTCAGTCGACCGTCATAGGAAGCTTTGTCGAAGCGATGGGATGTTCTGGGCCAGGCCAGAGACGGCGGCTCTTTTGGGATGTGAGCACCCTCGGTCGGGATTGTGTCGGGACAGAGGATGCGGTGACGTAGATAAAGCGACCAAGGGCTGCAACCAAGACTCCGATCTGAGAAAGGGCGAAGTTTGTCCAGGGCGGTAGGTCAGCGTCCGCGCAGGCGGTACGGTACGGTACGGTGCTATTTTCTGGCAGGATTGGACGAGACGGGACTGGAGGGGACTGGAGGGGGGGACTGGACTCGAATCGACTCTGCTTTCGCAGGCTGGACTCGTCTGGAGTCTGGAGTCGGTAGTCTGGAGTCTGGATGGGCGAGACGATGGGTGCTCGTGCTTGAAGACTAGAGCCTGCTGGCAGGTGTTGTTGGGTCTAGATGTACAGAGTACGAGTACGGAGAGAATGAGGTCAAGAGGTCGTAGGGAGGTGGTCCTTGTAATATTGTGTTGAGGGAGCGATGGGGAGACGGGAAGGGCTGGCGCTGGAAGTGATGCACACGATGCAGACGCCGCGCGAATGATGAGGGCTAAGAGGAGGAGGGCGAGGGTTCAGCATTACCAGACAGGCGACATACAAATTTAGTGGACCAAAGCGGAAGGATTAGCGCGGATGTGTAGAAATTCGATGAGGAAAAGTATCGAGTCCCAGGTAGGCAGGAACGCCTGTAGGCTATGGGTGTGGTGTATCCACTAGAATGCACTGGTGGTACTGGGTTTGGTGGGTGCAGGTGTAGGTGCGGGCGCGAGTGCGATGGGTAGCCTGGTTGAGTACGAAGGAAAAGTACGGAGTAGCGTGGGTTCGGTAGTGTGTGTATTGAAATAGTATGGGGTTGTGTCGCAGGCTGTTAGGTATCTCCGTACCCGTGGATAGTAGGGTTCAGTATAGTGGGGTGTATAGGTAGTCTACAGATACTCCGTACGTCTAGGTTGAATAGGTTGAATAGGTTGAGTAGGTTGAATACCTAGTGGAGTTAGGGAGGGGTGTACTCAGTAGAGACCCTCCAAACAGACGAGGACAAGGCGGAAGTGGCAGCCGGTTCAAGAGTGCGAGTCTTGTCTTGGTGAGCGCGTGAGAAGCGCTCACAGTGGATGCAGTGGTGCAGTGGCAGCAGTGTCCTCGAGTAAAATGGAAGGGCAAAGGCCCAAGCAGTGGAGATTCCCAGGCGATGAGCGGCCCCTCAGCGCCAACCCTGTCGGTCTCCCTCGCTGGTCATTTCACTCGTCAATGTTCAACACCTAATGACAATCGTCGGGGGCACTGAGCACGCAGCGTACGATGCGATGGGATCTGCCTGCTCAGCGATCTGCGCGCTACTCTCCCTACGCTATACACTGCGCACGCTAAGCTGTGGAATCTGCTTCACCTCCTCCCGCCATCATCACATCAGCCAAATGAGGGCCCCCCTTATCCCCCTTTGGGTTTAGTCCCAACCGGGTTGGCAAGGCCTTTGGCACACCAATCCTGGAAATCCATGGATTGAGTGGCCGTATCAAAGATCGCCAGTCGTCGTTTCCTGGGAGAGAATGCATCCTCCGCTCCGCTCCACCCAAGCACCCTCCCTGAAAATGGAGTGCTGCAGTGCTGCACTCACGCTCACCACTGCAACTCACCTGCCTTCCATTGCCTCGGCTTGCCTACCTGGAATCCCCACCACCACCCTCACCCCAGCTAGTGCTAGTGAGCTGCCCATTCCGTACGAGTAGGATGGTTTCAGCTCTCCCAAACCATCTGCATGTGCCATATTTGGGCTGATTCAAATCCATCCCATCGCATCTTTTGGCATGGTGGTTGGATTTAGTCACCTCTAGTTTCCGTAGGGTAGTAGTGTCCCTCATATAAATCAGACAGTGCACACACACCATCACATCTCATATATCGCCCTGTACAGAACAGTACAGAATTTGGTACCTACCTACTGTACTTGCTACAAACAAACTTGCTCCATCCAATCCAATCCAATCCAGTCTACCAAAAATATGATTATGATTTGATTTTCTCTCGTCCTTTCATCTCGGGACCCCCCGACACCTAAATACACACACACCTCTCATTTCCTCCCAAGGAAAGAAAAAAGAAGAAGAAAAGAGAAGAAAAGAAAAGAATTCCAACACACTATCCAATCCCCGCCGCTCAATCTACCTTTCTCCCTCCCTTCAACAAAAAAGGATAAAGTCCATAAAAAAAAGTGTCAAAAAAAAACCAGAGTTCAAAGGGTTCCAATCGTAGCCGCAATGACGTAGCCACCCACCCACCACCACCCTCCACAACATCACTCACTCCACAACAACACACCCAGATAAATCCTGACGCTACACAAGAACTTAACCCAACTTACTCCAATCCACCAATAAGCATTCAATTCTCCAAGTATTATATGCAAGCCCACGCAGTACACTCCCTCCCTCACCTCCCAACTCGACATCAGAACGCACCGCACCGCCCAGCCTTGCACACCCACACCTACACCAACGATAACACGCACATACCCAACAACCACGTACCACCAAACCTTCTTTCCCCATACCTAGCTGTACGAGTAGAGTAGAGTAGCGCTTATATCCCAAATAACCCTTTCTATTATGTCATCTCGCGCACGAACATGCCCACTATCCGACCCTAAAAGGAAGGAAAATTCTAATGATCCGAGGAAAGTACCTCCGTAAATTTATCTCGGCTAAGAGAAAGAGGGTTTTTTTTAGCAAGGGAGAAAGGAACGTGGTTTTTCGGATAGAATATAAGGTAGATAGTTTATTTACCTCTATACTTATAATAAATAGTAAAAGATTATAGCTTATATCTTTTAGTAATCTTTCTTTATACTAATTTCCCTATTTCCCTTCTCTTTCTCTTATATATTATTTTCTAATATCCCTTTATAAAATAAATAATCTGCTTATCTTAGGAATTATAATAAAAAGTTATATATAAGAAAAGAAAAATATAAATTATTTATATCTTTATATATAAACTAAATCTTTATAAAGATATATTCTTTTCTAATATATCTTGATATAAATTAAATAATCTAATTAGTTTAAAGAATTATAATAAAAGGTTATATATAAAAAAAGAAAGAATAAATTATTTAAACTCTTTTTATATACTAGATATATTTTATTTTATTATTTGAAGATTACATAGTTTATTACTTAATAATACTTTATATTATTTTCGAAGAAAAGAGATAATTATTATATTTAAGGTTTCTTTTAAATGAATTTTAAAAGAAAGAGAAAGGAAAGTAAATAAAAGAAGATAGAGGTAATTAAGAAGAGAGTTAGTTTCCTTTATAGTAAAAATAGCTTCAATATGATCGGTTTTATATAAAAGCTTTATCTATTATATAATGAATTCTCTTTCTTTCTTTTTATTAAAGCTCTTTTCTTTCTCTTAATATCTACTAATCTTTATCTGCATTCTATTACTACTTACCTATAATCTATTTATATTTGAAAATATTGAGCGTATATCTATATACAATTACTAAAATCTTAAAGGTAGAAACTATTCTATTTATCAAGGAAATTATATATATAGTAACTAGAGTCTAGGCGTACTAAGTCCGGATTAGAACTAGTGTTACACGAGCTAGCACTAGCTATATATTACCCCGAGTATAAGCCTCGACTTCTTCCTTCTTTAGTCTAATATATACTCTTTAACCTACCCCCTACCTATTATACTCTATACCCTATAAGAGGATTATTACTATTTCTGTAGGATATCTACTTAATACTATTAGTAATAACGTTTAATATCTAGAACTAAATTCTATAGAACTCTTTAAACTCTATTCTATCTAGAGTTCTTCTAGAGTGTCTTTAGATAAAATAGACTTCTTTTATTAAGTACCCTCTAGAATTCTAGAGGTTTTATAGAATTCTAGAGCTATTAAAACACGTAATTTAGAGGGGGTATATAAACCTCGGGAGCTAGAGAAATAGGTAAAAGTATTAGTATCGAATATATTTCTTTATAATTAAACTTAGCGTACTCTAGAGAAGTGTTATACTATATTTAATAAGTACGACTAGAGGGAACTTTTATATAACCTTTTATTTAACTAGATACTTATACTCTAGGGAACTTTCTATTAGTTCACGAAGTAAGGGTATATTTATCTAGGTTACATAATAAATTCTAGTTAGAATACCTCCTCTAGAATAGACTCCTATTAATATACTAAATAGAATAAAGTTCTTCTAGAGGAGAGGTCTAGAATAAAATAGAATTCTAGATACTAAACGTTAATTAGTAAAAGAATCCTAAGATTCTTAATAGAAAATAAGTTTTAATAATTTTAACTTACGCGTTCTATTTATTAACTCTCCTTTATCTAGTTCTAATATATAGCTATTTAGGATAATAAATATAGTATAAGTATTCTATATACTTAGGGTTATAGTCCTCTTCTTTTTTACCTTATATAAATATAAGTTTCTTATATAAAAAAAATCAAGTAAGATCCTTAGGATTTCATTACCTCCTCGCTATTAGCGTGGAAAATGATTTGATTTAATTTAATTAATAGTACTTAATTAAATCAAATCAGATTAATAGATCGTTTAATCAAATTAAATCGCCAAGTAATCAGATTAACACGGAGTCCGATCGGTCCGAGACCCGGGGTAGAGTCCCGGGCCTCGGGTTAGAGTCCGGGGTGGTCCGACCTCCCTATATAACGTATAAGTAGAGCTTATAAAACTTGTATATAATACCTAAGACTCTTTTCTTCCTATAGAAGGCTTATAGTAGTAATTATTTGTTACAACAGGTATAGGAAGGTCACGTGGAACCATATGACCTACTTTATATTGTCTTATAGAATAGGGATATAATAACAAAAAAGACTCTAAAGGCTATACTAGTAATACGTCTTAAAGGCTAGGGGTGTTTTATAAGCAAGGACAAAGATATACTACTAAAAGACGCGTTATTTAAGAATAATTACTTTGTACTATAGTTACTATTTATAGTACTATATTAATCAATTAATACTCTGATTAACTAATCGGTTAATCAAATCAATTCAACTAGACCTATTAATCAAATCAAATCAATTCAAATTTGAATAATTCAGAGTATTAATTGACTAGTCGATTATTTTGTTCCCACGCTGCCCGCTATATTATAAATCTATATTAATAAAGAGTGAAGACTGTAAGCAAGTAGACTGAGATCATGACTAGACAACGAATGTTTAAATTTTAGTACTTAGTATTAGCTTCATTGACATGGCTTAGATGGCAAAGCACTGTGACGATGATAAGTGGAATTTGAAATAAGTTAATCTTAGTAGTATTTGAGTAGGTAGGATGTTTTGGAATGAGTTAACAGAAAGGGATTAAAGCTAGTATTTCCTAATAAACTATAAGAGAGGCGGGCATTACTCTATATATACCTAAGTTACAAAAACAATTATCCTAAAGACCTCACACAATTAAATTAGTTATACGAATAGTTTAGAACAATTGTTACTTTTTAATTCTTATTATACAAGGTGAAATAGGACAATTGAGTTACTTATACTAGAGTTTTAATATAATAACTTTTGATAGCGTGTGTAGAGCAATGCTCGCCTCTCTTATGATACTTTCCTAATAACTTAATGGGATTTATTTAGGAGACTCTTTTTCTGTTCTTATTTCAGCCCTTATTATACCCTAGAAAGCAAGATTCGTGTAGTACCTATATTCATTCTCTACTTCCTCAAGTTGTATTTAACCCACTCAATCAAATCATCAAAATTCCATTCTCCCACCCCATTTCCATATCTATCCCAATTCCCATCCCAACATTCCACCTCACCTAAAATTCGCCAAATCAACCCTCCCCCCCTTCAGCCCTTCACCCCAACCCTCTCAACCACCCGTCCAAGCCTCTCAACACCCTCCTTCAGATCCCCCTCATCCACCCAAGAAAAACACAAGCGAATCGAACTCCCAAACTCCATCACTCCCTTAGACCCCTCCTCCGACTCCCCGTCAACCTCAAAGATCCTCCCAGGAGCCAGAATCAACTCCTCCTCCTCTTTCGCTCGAAGCGCGACATACTCAGCGCTCATCCCCGAAGGAAGGGTGATCCAGAGGAAGTATCCTCCAAAGACCCCCTCTCCCTCTCCCTCCCCTTTGCCAGACATTGCGGTAGTACTGCGAACGGAAGTTTCGCCCACTACTACGCCCTTGGGGACAAGTACCCTCTCAATTGCCTCCCTCAGAATTGTGTATCGTCTCTGATAAGTCGGTATAAGTACATCATTAATATGTCTATCAAGATCCCCGCTCTTCAACAACTCGAATATAATCGTCGCAGTAAACTGACTAGGCGCGCCCCCCGAACGAGAAGATCCACATTGCGAGAGGCCATGTATGAACTTCGGACTAGCCTCCGCCCATCCTGTCCGTACGCCCGGTCCAGCAATCTTTGAGAATGTGCCTGAAGACACAGTATTGCCGAATTCAGTACTAGATGGGATGGGAGGAAGTGTTGCATCGAGGTCTACAAGACGGGGGAGAAGGGCATGAGGTTTGGTGGGGGAGAGAGGAGATGGGGTGATGGGCCATTGGAGGGAATCGTAGACGTCGTCTGATAGGATCAGGACGTCATACTTGCGAGCGAGGTGGATGAGAGATTTTCGACAGGATAGTGTCATTGTTTTACCGGAGGGGTTGGAGAATGTTGGGACGCAGTAGAGGATGTGGCGGTAGGCTTTTGAGTAGGGTCTTGAAACTTTGATGGGCTGTTGTTTTTGTCAATTTTCTTTGTTCAATGGAGGATATTCAGAAGGGGTTTGAAAGATGGGTAGAGTAGTAGATACTGGTTTCATGGTGTTGTGTTGGAGTATGGAATAAAGACTCAGTGGAATATAACCACCATGTACTATGAAATGGTTGTTGAAAAATATCTTGAAGTTTCTTCTTTTACTTGCCCAGAGCGATGGGGACAGAAGATTTCTGTTCAATTGGATGACTTCTCTAACATTAAGAGGAAGAAGTATTTTGCTCAACGAATTCGAGCCAATCGAGAACTTCCATGAACAGAAAACCAAGCAGAACTGGGCTTCTTAAATCTCGTCGTTACAACCAAGTCATACAATCGTCCTTAATGTACGATTTGTCCCTGCAGGAGTATATATAAGACTTGATACTTCCAAAGGGACCATCTGAGCCACCACTTGATAGCCAGTTCCTTAATACATCATAGACTGCCCAAGTAGGAAAGACGCAAAAGGGCCAAAAAGCAATACAGATTTCATAAACAAACTTACAGTCGTTTTCCGTGTTAAATCCTTTTCAAGCTCCCTCTCAAAATACTCCAAGTCCACCCCCTCTTTCCCTTCCGGCACAGCTGAAGGAACCACTAAAACCATCAAAAAGTCAGCATCACTCATTCATCTCAAGTTGCCTTGCATCAACTCTCATTCCCATCCCCTTTCACATCCTCCACCATCTCAGTCCCCCCAATTCCCCATCCTCAAAAAAAGGAAACACAAGAAAGAAAAAACTCACACCCCGAATCCTCAAAAATCCGCATAGCCAAAAAATAAGTCGGCACAACCATCCACACCCTCGTAACCCCCGGATCACTAAAAACCTGCAATACACACGCCAAATTCTGGCTCGCTCCCCCGGTGATACAAATCCTCTCACTTCTATCCCCCTCTCTATCACCCTCTTTCCCACGTCCCTCCCCATTCCCATAACCATCATAAAACTCCCCCAACCACCTCCCAACAACGCCCCTCAACGGCCCAAACCCCGCATCAGGACCATAACACAACCCGGGAATAACCACCTCCTGATCCCCCGTCGCCCTCACCGAAGCTCGTGAGATAGCATCGACAGGCAGTAACGACGGATGTGGCCAGCCTCTCAGGAGGTTAATTTCTTTCATCGGGACTTTTTCGCCGCCCATTTCTTCTTTGGAGTGGTGAGATGAAGGGGATTTGGTTTGAGATGATATCAGTGATTTGGGATGGAAGAAGTGAGGGGCTGTTATTTTCGTGGTGTGGGACGAGAGATGATGTTGTGGAAGTCTTGGGAGGAATTGTCGTCGGAAGGGAGGCATTTTTTGCGTAGGGCTGGTGCTAGTTGGGGCGAAAAGTGGGAGAGCCCCGTCGAGGAGGAATTAGAATTTCGAGGAGATTCATCTTTGATCCTGGGATTTACTGGATGCCAGAAGACAGTCTTGAACAGTGAACTTTTACGTTTAATTTAAAGCCAAACCCCCACGTAAATATGCAGAGGAAGACGAGAGTTGAAAGTGCATGACATCATCCTGCTCACTACGAGTACAATAAACCCAATAAAGACCACCCAATTTCAGTATCATTCACAACAGTGGATCATCTCTACTAAATTAAATATTTTGAAGTATTTTTATTCTGTAACTAATTGTTACGATTCGGCAACATGCCCTCAAACATAAAGCCAGGGAGCAAAGACCTGCAATAAACTATCCGATGTTAGCGCTTCAAGACCTCGGGAGAAACCTTTTCAAGCGTCCAGTCGAAATCATTTTTCGTATCGCTTTGCTTCATTTTTGCATTCGTCTGCCCCTGCAGATATATGCCCTTTCCTGGCTATGTCTCATGCATAGTGAGCCTCTCACTCCACGCACAATATACACGCTGTATGCAAATTGCACAACAGCCGCTGAGACAAAACATTCCGCTCATGATTTTCTGAGAGTTACAAGTGAAGTAAGGTGAAAAAGGGTGATTGTGTAGAAGAAAATATCCATGACGGCATGATTGCGTTAGAGATCATTGTCCTTCCTAGAACAAGATTATCCCCCATACGCCATGCCCATGCGCTCAAGTCTGAACTGGTGTAGAGACATGACGATTCCAATTATTTCCATAACCTCTACCGCCTCCTCTGTGACTTCCACGACTAGTGTGGTGAGGAGCTGCTGAGGCAGTCGAGTTTTCTGATTTTGGTGACGAGAAGCTGTTTTCTTTTCCTCTGCCACCTCTAACGTTAGGTGAGGAGGTTTGTGGAGTTCCTCTACCTCGGCCGCCTCCACGTCTGGGATTACTTCTCTGTCGTGGGGTAAAGGGACCGGTGACCACCTTCTCTTCCTTTCCTGGGAGATGAATACGAAGTGTGAATCTGTTATGAACGACTGACTCATAAGGAAAATCAATCGGTTCCATGCTAACAACCTCTGCTACCTGAAACTTTCTGGGTATCGACTTTGCAATCTGAGGTGCTGGCGACCAAGCTGCGGCGGGTGCATTGGTTGGTAATTTAATTGGGGGTAGGGAGCCCATCTCCTGTTCCTCAAAACACTCCTCAGCCGCCGGCTTTGACACGGTCGACCCATCATCAGAGGCCAACACCCCGGAAGACAAAGATGGCAATGATACCGTAGCGGCGGATTGGGATCTAGGAAGCTCTAAAGCGTTTTTACTGCTAGAATCGACTGCTAGGGCATGCGAAGACTTGGGTGGTGAATTTCCCGTAGGTTTGCGTCCGATCAATGAATTGATTCTATCTTGCCATGGCGAAGCACCCGCCTCTGGTTGTTTGCGAGCATCTTGTTGAGAAGAGGCAGCTCTTGACATATGGTCTTGGCGTGAGATTTGAGCTGGTGCCTGTTGTAAGGGCACCGCAGGAGCTATGACCGCTGCTGCAAATGTGGCGGGCTTTGGTGGGCCAATTGGTGCAAGTACAGTTGGTGGGGGCAATTTGACCACTGGTGCTGGCTTAGGAAGAGATACTAATGGACGAGTAGCATCACCATCATATACAGGATGACCTGCCATTGTGGGTGGAGGAGGTGATGGCGATGCTGGTCGATCATATGGCATTGACTGCTCCTCGAGGCGAACATCTCGGTTATTTGGAAAGAATCGGGAATCGCGAACGCGTGGAGATGAATTGTTATTTGGACTGTTTCGCCAGGTGTCACCAAATTGATTGCCAATGGCCTCAGACTGAACAGCTGTGTGCGGTCTCAAGGCAGCATCAACAGATTCGGGTGCTGTTTGTTTAGTACGATCTCCGTGTTCATTGATAGTCATTTCTCTCCAGGTCTCCTTGTAGACTGGTGGGGCTTCCCGTAATAAGCCTTGTGCCTCGAGTTTTCTTCTCTCAGCCGTCTCAGCCTCTTGCTTCTGGCGAACAATTGAATCATCACGTTGAACTTTCTCTGAAGCAAGTGCCCATGGTGAGCTCGCCACTTGCCGACGCTGTTCCTCCATCTGAGTATCCATGTGACGCGGAGGTGGACCAATTGGGGCTGGTCTTGATACGAATGGGTCACGACGGCCTTGAGAGAATTGGCTGTTATTCCCACGATTTTGATTTGGTGGCCCAATTGGACCAGGATGCTGCTGAGAGGTATGTAGGTTCGGTACTCGACTTAATTCGGGATTGAAGGTGCCGTTGCCTAACGTACGATCATTTGTAGGTGGACCCCATACGCTTCTAGAAGGAGTTTGTTGAGGGGGCGCCCATGGTCCAGAACTTTGAGCAGAATTGCTTTGCCATGGCTGCGTAGGTTTTTGTTCCTGGAAGTTCTGTCGTGAAGCTGATGAGGAAAGCTTGGACTCATGGTGGGTGCCATTGGCCCGAGATTCTGAAGTAGGTTTCTCAGATTTTATATCTGCAGTTGACACGGCAGGTTTAGGCTCACGTGGTGGTTCTGTGACATTCACTTTTGCCTCAATGTCATTACTTTCAACGGCAGGCGCTTGTGGTGGATCAGAGGATGGAACGGGCTGTTGTCTGGCTTGTATCGTGACTGGCACAGCCTTATCTTGTTTTGGTGTGGCAGCCCTGCTGGGCTTCTCTGGAAGAGGACCCATTGCCTCCAGCTTGATGCGGATGCGTTCGCGCTTAGCAGCTTCCTCTCTGGCCTCTTCTTCCTGTCTTCTCTTGATGGCAAGTTCACGTGCCAGAAGCATACGCTTCTTTTGTTCCTGGAAGACTGCCTCCTCATCAATAATGGGCACAGGCGCACTTTGCCCATCAACGGAACCTGAGATAGAGGGCGCCAATTGATCGTGTGCGGATTGAGGTGAAGGATGGCTGATAGGAGCCGGGGATGCGCGAGATTGCCACTGTTGAGCTGCAGGGCCGCGATTAGGCTGACCCGCAGGTTGACCCGAAGGTGAAAATGGTCTTGGGGAGGAAGGTGCGTCGCTGACTACAGCCAACGAGCCTCGTCTCAAATCGTGAGGTGGCAGTTCGTGCCCCGCTGCACCCCGACTCATTCGTCTAAAATTTCCACTTCCACCACTGACATTTGAAGATGTACGGCGACGATTGAATGAAGGATCTTGGCCACCTGCTCTGTGAGTTTGGAAGGCGGCCGATGGTTCTGCAGGGCCATCCTGCTGTGGTCTTTGCAAAACCGCTGGCTGTCTCGCATCATTACGTGCAGGACCTCTTCGATTATCATTGACTGGCTCATATCTACCAGACTGCGAGTTGTATAATTCTCTGCTTGAATTCGTATTTCCGTCTCTCCACGATCGACTAAAATCGTCAGCAGCAATTTCCTTTGCTGCAGGAGGGGGCATAGCCTGAAATCCATGGGGATCTCTCTGGCCAAATCGGCTTGATGATGTTTGGTTGTTCTGAGGAATCTCAATTACAACTGGGGCAACTTTGTCTACAGGCGGCAAAGAGGCCCAGGGAGATTTGACTGGTGTGGGTGGTCCTGGAGGCTTTGCTACCAAGGTTGGTTTCTCTGCGGCACCTTTAAGCACTAGTCCAGCTCTGACAGACCCAAAGCTACTGGTAGATTTCACCGCTGGTGACGCAGATCGTACAGGAGCTGGTGATTTGGACTTGGGCACTTCAACAGGCTTTACCTCCTTCTCTACGGCGGCAGGTTCAGGGGTTGGTTCGGGAGCAGGAGCTGGTGGATCTTCTGCTTGAGGCAAAGTAATTTTGGTACCGTCCGTCCACTCAATGGTTTCAGGAGCCCAATCGTCATCATCGTCGTCTATGTCCGCCCAATTCTTCTCCTTGCCCGGATCATCCGATTGAAGCCTCGTGGCCAAATGAATTCCGTATCTCTGCTTCAATTCTTCATCCGTGAAACGCTTTGGTTCAGGAGGGGCCGCGGCTACGCAATGGTTAGTATAAATAAATAAAATGAATGTTGTAATATGCAACGTACGTCTGTTTTTGTTCCACACGGCGCTCGCGTCCGGAGCCGCCCCAGCTTTGTTTCCATTTGCAGTCGCAGAATTGCGCGGTGTCGAATCACGTAGACCACTTCCTGACTTTGCAACCAATCGAGGTCTCGGAGCGCTGCTTGTCGAAGGACCAGTTTGCGTCGAGGTACTTCCCGCAGCTCCCTTGTCGCCTAGCTTGGACGTTGCAGGAGTAGTCGCACCTTTGGCTGCAAGAAAAGTCTTATTGACCGATACGGGTTTGAAGGACAGAGCTTTCTTTACAGTCGAGGTGGTTCGAAGGTGACCCGACTGGGTTTTCGAGGTTTCCGCTTTCGAAGCCTCAGTATCCGATCCTCCATTAACACTGACCTCCGCCGAGTCGCCACCTGGCTCAAGTTTCTCAGAGACTTGCTTGATTCCATCTTTGTCGGTATTTGATGTTCCATTCACCAAATTTTGTTCGTTTGGAGGGGAAACATCTTGGCTGGCAGATTCAGTTGTGTTCTGGTCGCAAGTCAGTAAGCAGTTTCTCATAGCATCCAGATTGCGCAGATGTACCAGCTCATCATCAGGAGTTGTAGACGACGTCGCAAGGATTTCAGGAGTGGCTTCAGTTGCCATCATACGTCTTCAGAGATGTTTGTATATGTTCCAGGAGCTGCGCATGCGTTGGCCCGGTCTCCGTCTTGGTCTGTTAGCGTGTGGGTGGGTAGTGGGCGATGTGGTAGAGGGGTTTTGAGGGGCGTCGCTATTACACAGTATCAATGAGACGACAATTTGATGGAAAGATAACTCCGTCGGTGGGTTCGGTAGGAGCGCGTTCAACGATGCGGAGGGTTCGAAGATGATGAAGCCGCCAGGTTCTACGACGCTGTTCACTGCCAGAGACGGGATGTCAGGAATCTTGATTGGGCCTAGCGTGGATGTGCGGCCTCGCTGCTTAAGGCTGAGGAAGGCTTGGCAGTATGAGTCGCCCTACATCTTCTGACCTTCCACGCATTGACTAACATCTGTAAAGCATACCCAGCTTCTGGCGAGAGGGTTGTATACGTGTACTTGGAGGGTGAGTATCTGCAGAAACCTATTCACATGAATCAAGTCCTCAACTCAACATAGAGGGGTTAAATACGGACCACAGCCCTACAAACCTTCCTCTCACAACCTTGCAACCTCACAAAAATGTTTCCTAGACGGGAGTCATTCATTGATGATGCTACTCTATCACAAATGAGTAACCCAAGGAATAAATTCTCTAGATATTTTCTTTGACATTGCTGGAAAATTAATTGTCTAGATAACGGTACTTTAAAAAGTCGTAATTTTTACTTATCCACCCTGTCCATCTCTCTAATTATTGTTATTGATTTCCCCAAATTATTTCGTAGAACAAACCAATCAGAGAAAAATGTTTCGAATTATTGTTTAACATATAAACTTTGCTCCATCCAAACTCAAGTTGCAAATAAATCACACAAAAACACATTACCTGCTATCTATAGTAGTTTTATACAACATCAGTCATTGTCATACACCTATTTCACATTCTGTGTGATTCACCTCAAGTTCTTATGGACTGATTCCATACTTTGACAATAGCATGAAGAGCATGTGAAAATGAGTAGCGAAATGGCAATTCTCTTTACTTTCAGTGATGGTCGCTTGGGGATTAGGGAAAACGGATAGAGAAATTGGAGTCGCTTGTTGAGTTTGGATGTATCAGGGGATAGCTGTAGATGAAGAGCGAAATGAGAAAGCTCGTTAGTAAGCTTGGTCATGTTAAGGAGGACCATATTATAATAAAGGGCGAACAGGTCGGCCACTTAGGGGAGGTGTATTCCTTAGTTTGACAACAGAACTACACACGACTCCGTTACTCATAAATATCGTCAGTTCTGGCTTCACAGACTCAACATAAACCATATCCGTGAACTCTTTGGTATTCTTCTAATCCTATTTACAACCTAGTAAAACAAGTCCCGTCTGCCTCTATGCCATCCTTTCATCATGCCCCAGCCAAAGAACTCTGCTTAGTGGGCGTTGTTCTTGTGGTGGCCTGTTACGAATTAGCAATTAATTCATGTATTCAATTAGAGCAAGCAGCCTTACGAAGATGGAAGTAGTAGTTCTGAGCATAACCAATGGCAAGAAGGCCAGCAATAACGTGAATAATTGCTATAATTTCAGTTGTTAGCATTTCATCACCCTCCAAAGAAAAGCTAGGTGTATCCTACGGGTTGCAGAAGAGTTCTTTCCAAAGTATGCGTGTTGATATCTGGCGAAAAGTCCCTTGGGCTTGATCTCTGGGGCGGATCCTCTTGGGAGCTTCTCGTAGAAGCTTACTACACGAGACATACGAGCAGCATCTTGTGCGGCACCGAGCCCCTGTTTCCTATCAGTCTAATCCTTTCTACATCTCTCTCGAATATATCTGCCTCATCGGAAGGTTCGCGGGCACTCGGATCGAAGGTGCATCATGGGAGTTCTGGAATCGGCGCAACTTACGGATGGAGAGGCCACCTAGTGAGTCATTAGCTATGCAAATTAGGGTATTTGGAACAATATCGTAGAGGTTTACCTTAGGTGGAATAAGGGTAGAAAGCGCCCGACGGGTAACGAAGCTCATCTTGATGTCTATGTCCGGCGTTAGTTCAATTGGCCCCAAAACTTTTGACGAGCGTTGATTGTGCATTTCCTCGGAGTTTCGTACCTTTATTGAGAGTCTTGATGTTGCGTAGAAGAGATTCCTGTGGTTGATTGCGGTTGGAGAGAAGACATCGTAGTTGACAAGCTCGGGATTTCAAGGTGGCGCTAGACTAAAAGGGTTTAGCGCCATCTGGGTGGACTTCAAGGAAGTTGGACGACGTCGCGATAGATGCGATAGCCATAGATTCGGAGACAACACAAAATGTCGCTCCTACGACCTTCAATTAGCGGCCGATTACTTAGAGCTGGCGGATCAGCATCGCAAAGGGGTCTTTCCGGCGCTGTGCGGTTCAACAGTCAAGATGCCCAATCCAAAGAGCTCCAGACAGCAACTCCCACCTCGATGACAGAAGGAGTCCAGCTCAGACACAACCAGCAAAACTACTTTGCGGAGGTAGACCAGGCTACATCGTAAGAATGGGATTGGATTATTGGGAATTTGTGCGCTAATTCATTTAGACAATTCTCGCCGGTTCCAAAACGAGTTATGGATGGAAGTCATGAGGGAACGGTTTTGGCCGCAGCAGTCTTATCTGGAGCACCAATTGAGTTGGAAACAAGAACCGTTCGGTATATACTGGAAAATCAAGGTCAGGAAGAGTCATTCTAACGTACAATTAGCATATACAAACCTACCAAACCCGCCACTCAATCCGGAGACTGGCATGGACACCACTGGCGAATGGACTGGGATACATTGCCAAAAGGACATCGATGGGAGAATCCATTGATGGGATGGCAGTCATCGGCAGATTTCATGCAAGGCACCAACGTAAACTTCAAGACGAAAGAGGAGGCCATCAGATTCGCGGAGAAGCAAGGTTACGAATACTACGTCCAGGAGCCCCAAAGTCGAAAGATTACTCCAAAGCTCTATGCTAATAACTTCTTGTGGTCTGATAAGAAGTTGAAGCATATTCGGACCAAGTAGATGGGAGTGGCTTGTATTGTACATAAGATAAATGAGCACGCGCATTCAATATTCAGAAGTATTTGAGACGTTTACTTCTATTTCTAGGAGTTTCCGTTCTTCTTGTGTATTTTATTAGTCTTGGAGTAAAAGACGGCTTCTTCTTTCAGTATTTAACTCACATGTGGTGTAATCCATGTATCTAGATACGTTGGTTCATCGGGATATGCCTGTTTCACCATTAGGGAAGCAATGTTCTGTCTCTTTACTGTTTATTTCTGCAGACTTCTCTCTGATATGACAACTTACTATTTCCAACTATCCAGTACGGCTGTTTATATATAACTGTTTATTGCTTTAGTTGGGCCTTACTTACTACCAGGCGGACTGCTTCTGTATACAATTATATGAGCCCTTCGACACAATTTCGTTGTGGGGATTTGGGAGGGAAAATCCATGCTAGCATTTTTGCATCATGAATTCCCAACGGCTTTTCAATGACAGGATAAAGATGTGTCCTTGATATAATGGCTTCCATATGGACTGATCTGAACTACCTGGTCTTTTCACATGATCTATGGTGTCAAGAAATCGCCTAAGAAATTCGCTTATTTCTAGTTCTTGAAACTTTTGCCTGTCCGAGCAAATCTACGACTTAAGAGCTTCAGTTTTGAAAAATGCTTTCAAGAATATTTATTCTTACTGCGTGAAGAAAACACATGAATCGGGAAGTTCCTGCTGAGATGATTGCTGAGAATTCTTCCCGGCGAGATGTTGGCTTACCATACCTATGGTATGCTCAGGAATCTTTCACTATTCTATCAAGGGAGGTAGAAATCATAATGCAACGCGCCTACTCGGGTCATTGGCGCTTATAGGACAAATAAGCGCCAACCAATAGTGAAGCAAGAAGCCCCACCAATGCAGGTGCAAGTGAGTGGTTTTATGGATTACTACCTTGTAGTGCACGGGCCACGTAGCCTCGCCATCCAGACACTACTCTTACACCTGCAAGTAAATACCTCCAAATAACCTTGAACATTTCTTTGCAGAAAGTCGAGTTTTGGCTGGACGACCCAGCAATACAACACCATGGACGATCTCGAATCCCTCGAAATTCTTTCCTTGGTCTCCAAAGTGAGCTCCGAATTACAAAATCATATTGGAGTCGGCGACAAGACTCTCGCCGAATTCCTGATTGCGCAACATGCAGAATGTAAATCTCTTGAGGAGTTCCAGAAGAAGCTGGATGCATTGGATGCTGGTTTTCCGCAGAGTTTGATTGAGAGTATCGATCGCTTGGTTCTGACTATGCATCCTAAGTTTAAGGGTGGAAAGGGAAGACATATCGAAGAGGTATCGCGAAAGACGGAAGAGAAGACGAAAGTTTTCAAAGGACTTGCGCTGCCCGACAAACAACCAGCTTGGATATACGAACCCGAGGAAAATACAAATAGAATCGCAGATCCTGGTACGGATGCCATCGATGATACTCTGGCCCTACTTGAAGGACTTGCGCCGAAGCCTAGAGTAGAGAAGCCAAGCCGAAAACGAAGTCGCAGTCCAGATGAAGACCATGATAGAGGTCGCAACAGGAAGGAGAGATATAGGTCGCGATCGCGGTCACGGTCTGCGGATGATACACGAAGAAGAAGGAGAAAAGCGCACCATGACGAGGACGAATTTGGGCGCGCGAGAAATGGTCACAAATCCAGTCGGAGAAGGAGAGACGAAGATGACCAGTTTAAGAGACCTCCCGTTCCGGAAATCGATGATGAACCTATATTATTTAAAGTTTATGAAGGCCATGTCACAGGCGTTAAAGACTTTGGTGCTTTCGTCCATATACATGGAGTTAAAGGGAAGGTGGATGGTCTTGTGCATGTCTCGGCTTTGGTTGAAGGCCAACGTGTGAATCACCCTTCAGATTTGGTTTCAAGAGGACAGCCGGTCAAAGTCAAAGTTGTAAAAATTGAAGGCACGAGGGTAGGTTTGTCAATGAAGGACGTTGATCAAGAGACGGGCAGAGACCTGGCGCCAGAAGAAAGAATACAATCTGGCGCGAACAATGAGCGCCTTGGTGGTGGAAGATATGAATATGGCTTGATCGATGAAAAACCCATTGTCTTTGAGAATGATGCATCAAATAGGTCTCGGAAACCGAAAAAGAGAATGACTTCACCCGAGCGTTGGGAAATTCGACAACTTATTGCTTCTGGTGTTGTGAAGGCATCAGATTACCCTGATCTGGATGAAGATTATAACGCAGCGCTCAACGGGGAAGGAGAGATGGAGCTGGAAGAAGACGTGGATATCGAGTTACGGGAAGAAGAACCTCCTTTCCTTACTGGACAAACTAAACAATCTCTCGAGCTCTCTCCCATCCGAGTTGTAAAGGCCCCAGATGGCTCGATGAATCGAGCCGCAATGGCTGGAGCAACGCTGGCCAAGGACCGTCGAGAACTGAAACAACAAGAAGCTCAGGATAAAGCGAATGAAGAAGGCGCAAAAGTGGATCTGGCTGCCAATTGGCAAGACCCAATGGCCGATCCCGAAGGACGAAAGTTTGCAAGCGATTTGAAAAGTATCAAGCCTGCACAAGTCAGCGATGATGTTCCAGAATGGAAAAAGGTGACCCAAAACAAGGAGCAGTCTTTAGGACGCCGAACGGATATGACTATCAAGCAACAGCGGGAATCTTTGCCAGTCTTTCGCTTCCGAACCGAGCTGATCAAGGCTGTACATGCTAATCAGCTTTTAATTGTGGTTGGAGACACGGGCTCTGGTAAAACAACGCAATTGACTCAATATTTGGCCGAAGCTGGATTTGCGAACAATGGCATAATCGGCTGTACCCAACCTCGTCGTGTGGCTGCCATGTCAGTGGCAAAGCGTGTATCTGAGGAAGTTGGGTGTGTTTTAGGTCAAGAGGTTGGTTACACAATTCGATTCGAGGATTGTACCTCGCCGGCTACGAAAATCAAATACATGACCGACGGAATGTTGCAGCGTGAGATTTTGATGGATCCTGATCTCAAAAGATATTCGGTTATCATGTTAGACGAAGCCCACGAGCGTACCATCGCAACAGATGTTTTGTTTGCGCTGCTTAAAAAGACTTTGAAACGAAGACCCGACATGAAAGTCATTGTCACCTCTGCCACCTTAGATGCCGATAAGTTCTCAGCTTATTTCAACGAATGTCCTATTTTCTCCATTCCTGGACGTACGTTTCCAGTCGAGGTCATGTACTCTCGTGAGCCCGAATCAGATTACCTGGACGCAGCATTGGTTACCGTCATGCAGATACATCTGACAGAGCCCCCTGGAGACATCTTACTCTTCTTGACTGGCCAGGAAGAAATTGATACCAGTTGCGAGATTTTGTTTGAGCGTATGAAAGCCCTTGGACCCAGCGTTCCGGAGCTCATTATTCTTCCTGTATATTCTGCTCTTCCTAGTGAGATGCAAAGTAAAATCTTCGATCCTGCACCTCCTGGGAGTCGGAAAGTTGTCATTGCAACGAATATTGCCGAAACCTCAATTACCATCGATCATATCTATTACGTTATCGATCCTGGATTTGTCAAGCAAAACGCCTACGATCCAAAATTGGGAATGGACTCGCTTGTCATCACACCAATCTCGCAAGCTCAGGCGAAACAGCGTGCAGGTCGTGCAGGGAGAACTGGACCTGGAAAATGTTTCCGTCTATATACGGAAGCTGCTTTCCAATCTGAGATGTTGCCTACTTCGATTCCTGAAATCCAACGGCAAAATCTGGCGGTCACCATTCTGATGCTAAAGGCCATGGGTATTAATGACCTTTTGCATTTTGATTTTATGGACCCTCCTCCCACCAATACGATGTTGACGGCACTAGAAGAGCTTTACGCACTATCAGCTCTGGACGACGAAGGTCTTCTGACACGATTAGGTCGAAAAATGGCTGATTTCCCAATGGAGCCGTCCCTCGCAAAGGTGCTGATCGCTGCCGTTGATCTACAGTGTTCCGATGAAGTCCTGAGCATTGTGGCCATGTTATCTATGGGTTCACCATTTTACCGACCCAAAGAGAAACAAGCCCAAGCGGATCAAAAGAAGGCAAAGTTCCATGACCCTCATGGTGACCACCTTACCCTCCTCAATGTCTACAACGGCTGGAAACAGAACAAATACGCCAACCCTTGGTGCTTTGAAAACTTCCTACAAGCTCGATCTATGCGTCGCGCAAAAGATGTCCGCGATCAACTAGCCAACATCATGCAACGCTACAAACACCCCATCGTCTCTTGCGGTCGCGACACCCAACGCGTGCGACAAGCTCTGTGCGCAGGGCTATTCCGCAACTCTGCACGCAAAGATCCACAAGAAGGCTACAAAACTCTTATTGAAGGGACTCCAGTTTATCTGCATCCATCCTCCGCACTCTTCGGAAAACAAGCCGAATGGGTCATCTACCACGAGCTTATTCTTACTAGTAAGGAATATATGCACTGTACCACAGCTATTGAACCGAAATGGCTTGTCGAGGCGGCGCCGAGTTTCTTCAAGGTTGCGCCGACGGATAAGTTGAGTAAGAGGAAGAAGGCGGAGAGGATCCAGCCACTTTATAATAAGTTTGCTGTGGAGGATGATTGGAGGTTGAGTGCGCAGAAGAGGCAAGGAAGGGGTGGTGGAGGGGGAACGTGGGGTTAGAGGGTGGATTGGAAGGGGTAGCTGGGGGTATATCATATGTGTAACGATAATTTGAGTGGAAATCTATGATATCTTATAGAACTTATCGTGATAGGTTGTGGTGATTGGGGACTTGGTGTTCTGTGCGGTTATCATTGAACATCCATTTGATTGACCACAACTATTCTGCACTTCGTACTTAAGGAGAGGTTTCAGGAGTAGATGATTTAGACAAATGAGTTGTCCCCACCCCAATCCCCGGATCTTGGTATAGACGTAAACATTATTATGTTCCATGTAAACCCCTCGAGAAAGAAGCTATCACGAATACTCGGAAGAATTACAGTAACACTTTCCACTTCCTGTAAAACTTACAAGCGATAGCGTTGTGGAAAGATGTATTGAGTGCTAGTCTAGATGTATTTATTACTAAGATCCGGGATAAGTAAATTAAATGGCTTGTGTGATACTTTCTGTATATGGTATACTTACGGCTTTTCCTAGGTGGTGGGTGTATGGAGTAACAGATGAGAATGAGGCGATGGATCTTGGATTTTGGGATGTTGGGTTGTTTTGTATGTTGATGTATGATATGTAGAGCATAGACATATTGATATGTCGATTTTGGTTGGCTAGATGAGCTAGATGTATGTTTTAGTATGTGGGAAAGGGGAAGGAGTGCGGTTTCACTGGTGGTGTAGGGACTTTGTGTTGTATGCTGTATGATCTAGCGCATTTTGTGGGCCATGATGAGGTCTACTAACTTCGGTTTCTATTTCGTTAGAAGGGTTCTTTGATTTCTTTTAGAACTTCAGTAACTACCCATGTCTGGGACAGGTTCAAGGATGGATTTGGGTTTAATGGAGAATGAGGACTTGGTATATGAAGTCGCGGCGTAACATTTTAACACATATGATCTCCAGGATCCAAGAAGCTTTGATGGTTTTTTTGCATGTGTTTTCATATATGGGGTGGGTATGTAATTTACTAGGGTGTTGTTTTGGTGGGGTTTAGCGAGGCACGGCTTTTTTAAGCGAGTCCCACGCATACATATCCTTTCGACCTGTACGTGGAGATTTAACATGTGTCCGCTGAATTTAGTTACTGTCATATGCCTGGAGAGTCTTTACGTGTGTATGTAACGTCTCACGACGTAGGCCATAGGTGCTATATAAATAGATTCTCTATAATTGTTCTAGATACCGAACGATATCTATTTGTAATCAGATTTTCGTGCGATAGCCTCTACAAAAGACTCTTCTGGCTTCTAGTTATCACATGCTATGAAAGGAGCCAAATCTGTAAGCAGAAATAGCTAAGATCGTATTCGTACAACGGAGATAAGTAGAAAAAGTCAATATGGTCAAAATAGAGATATGGTTCAAGAGTTTATTGTAGCTAAATGAATGGAAGTGTACGAGTACTCCAGGTACTTGCCACAAAGTAGAGTCCAGCTCCACGAAACGGATTTTCCAAATGAGTATTGCATATCGCGATAATAAGTGTCGAACCTTTAAACCTTCCTGTTTGACTGATAGATACGTTGAATATCTTCCAGCCCTTGACTTCGCTACCACCGCCCTCCTTCCCCCCCTTCCCTCCCTTTCCCTCCCTTCCTCCCTCCAAATTAATTCGAAATTCAAAGTCTAGCGGCTGCTGGAACCATGCTTGCTGGAACCATCCTTGCTAGAACCATCCTTGCTGGAATCCTGCTTGCCGGGAGGTTTTACGTTATGGCGCCACGTGCAGTCGAGTTTGTTTTTGTAGAAACCGGTTCCATGACATTCTTCGTGTTTAATGCGAACACCATTCACCTTAATATATCCTAAGGTGCCATCGTAAGTATTTCCCTCTTCTACCTTATACTGACATAGGCACCAGCAGGTTTCGTCTCCGTGTTTATATTTCCCTGGAGTTTCATATATGCTCCTATGGCATTGTGCACACAATGTTTCCTTGTATCGCTTTAGTTTACTTTTGAGACTCTCAGTATCACCATTACCACCACCACCACCACCACTGCCACTGCCACTGCCACTGGCCGACATGTTCTCTCGATAGAATGTTGTTGAATAATATTGCGATGAAGATAATCGCCAGCGAAAAAGTGATAATGAAACAACTGGTACTTATTTGTACCTAAAATATGAAGACAGATATTGTGAGTGGTGATGTTGTTTTGATGGTTGAAAAGTGTGTAGTAAGGACGTAAGGAGTTTGAGCTTTCAGAGTTGTTGTTCAAGGCTATTTCTTTGTAGTTGAAGGTTCGTTTTGTGTGTGTGGATGTGTGTTTCTTGATGTTGGTGGAGTTAAATGTTGGAGATTAGGGACAATTGATCTGCTTTTATAGACTTCTGGAGAGGGTAGGCTACTTGATCAGATGTGAATGTTAAGAACCATTGTACTATACATATTATAGCTATTAATGTATTGTAGCTCTGTTTCTGCTGAATAAAAACCCTGAGTTACGATTATTGCGAGGAATATGGTATTTAAAGCATGTATTATATCTCATGTTATTGAATGAAAGTCGGTGGATTCTCCGTCGCTGTTGGCTACCAAGAGGAGCTGATTAATTGCGCTGGAAACGTTGTTATAAAGTGGTGAATAAACCTTTCGCAGTAGCATTATTTGCTAACCTGCTACCTTGTTGTTCATTGGTAATTGTGTGGTGTCTGTCAAGAATTTTACCTCACACAAGGTATGTTATTGGTATTGAAGAATGACTGTCGCTGCAACTTTCTATGTCAAACCAATACATCAGTGTCCGTTAATAAGTTGTAGCTATCAAGTGAGTCACACTACGTGAACTTTTTACACATCATTTTCGTTATGGTGTGATTTTAATACCAACGGTGTCTTTCTCATGTATACAGTTAATGGCTTTTGGTCTATGTGTGTATTATTCTTCTGCGGGGGTTCAAGGGGCCTCTTTTAATCATACTTCGGTAATGTTTGCTTATAGTTAATCATCAAAATAGTGTACCTACCCTAGGCGAACTCAATATTCTGCGTTTGGTAAGCACACAATAATCAAGGGTTGGCCAATACTGAATTGACGTGAAGCTCAACCTATGCTAGTTGACATAAAAAATAGAAAGTATATTGGAATGCCTGTTTAAACGGGAAAACATCACGTATGTTTGAACAGAGCCTTTATCTCAAATTCACCATTCCAAGGTCACTTGAGTCACCCAACCCGTCGACGACCCAAGAAACGTGATTTATTTTCTACTACCATTCAATTTATTTGGAAACCCCCATTTAATGAATCATCATTAAGGAAAGAATTAAAAACTTAACTAAACAATCAAAATATAAGAAGTATGGCAAGTTTGGGTAACAACTATCTCTTTTCCTCCCTTAGTATAGATAGAGGTCAATGATTGTTGCGATATATTCCACTCCTTTGGTTACTTTATATAGACCTACTTCGTTTGAGTACTTAATACTCGAACGCGTACACTCTTTTAGCTCCTTAATAATCGAATTACGGAATATACTACCTATTACTTATTTACCTTATCCTATTAGATCCCCTCTAGGAATTCGATAGATATCTCTATACTAATAATAATTAGTAAGCGTGTATAGATTAGAGATATAATATATTATTTATATAATTTATTATACCTGTATTCAAGTAACCTTACGTTAAGAGCCTTTAAAGGATTATATATAAGACGTTTAAGAAACTAGTATATTCTTATCTACTTTATACTATTAAAAAGAACCCTTTTAGGTAATACTTATAATAGCTCTAGAAACTAATATTATAGTTAGCTATTATATTTTAAAGTGTTTTTAAAATAATAAACTCGAACTCTTAATTGAATACCTTTCGAGATAATAATTTAAAGATTCTAACTACTAACTTTATGTAACGAATACTCAAACTGGCTAACAGAACTTGGCTGGGTGTTCGCTGGTTGGTATGCTATGATAAGAAGAAGACTATCGGGTTGTTCACTTGGAAGTGAACTCGTTACTTGTATCAAAGATGTCAAACTAATATGATAAGATTGATAACTAAGTTGAGCACGAAGCTCCTATCTAATGGCAGACGTGCCAGTCTTATATAGAACCTTCGTTCTCTCTACATCGCCTACATCACCTGTCGATGTAGTCGACCTCCTATCGCAAACATCGACTGTCGATACAGGCGATGCGATTGATCACGTGACTACATACACGAGAAATCCTTGGATCGCTTAGCTAGTCT